TTATTTTTCAATAACGACTCATCATATGTCATGGTCATGCTACTAGATTTCAATTAGAATTGCTTTCATAGTGACAATAATTGGTCCATATTTCAGTTTCACAGATCTATAATGATTGAAATATATTGCTAGTGGTGAAAAGAAAGTGATATACACCTTGGTAGTGAAGAATATTTACCACCGGGATATAATCTTGGTTCCTGGGTTATAATGATATGCTTTACTACCTTGGTGTGTGAATTTTTCTTTTTCTTTATTACTTGAAATTTCAATATTGGATTAGTTCATCAATTTCACCCAACCATTAGTTGATTTCGTTGTACCGAGTTGGTTCTTGCGACTCACTATATTATGTTGTTTTCAATTCCTCTCTCATTAGGCACTATCTAGTAGGTACCCAGTTTAATTTCATCAGATCTTTGGATTTCATGTTTTTTTTTTTCAAATAATTTGTGTATCTGTATGCATTGAGTAATGTTGAGGGTCTATACCGAGGGGTAAATCAGGGGAGACTTTCAGGTACACTAGACTTCCTTTGTTGAAAGAATTCCCGCAATTCTTGGGTCTACTCAAGGAATTCCTGGGACTACACGAAGTATTCCCGGACTTCCTAAAGAATACCCGGAATTCCCGAAGACAACCTGGACTACCCAAGGAAGTCCCAGACCTCCTAAGGGATTCCCGGACTTCCCAAGAATTCCCAGACTTCCCAAGAATTCCCAGACTTCCCAAATAACTCCCACACTTCCCAAAGAATTCTCGGACTTCCCCAGGAATACCTCGACTTTTATATTGCCATTTTCATTTTACACTCCTATGTTCGATATACAGGGCAAAACGACAAAGTTTGACGCTGTTTCTCATCAATAACTCCAGTACCTACCCATTCATTGATCTTTCATATTTCAAATCCAGTTGATATTTCACAAATTAGTTAATTGTACCCTTTAGTGCAAATAAATTCGGAAGTTCCGAGTAATTCTTTCCTTATTTTTTCCACTTGCTTCACTTTGATTGGGTGAATCTGAGGACAAAACTGATACACTGAAAAAACGTGTATTGTGAAAAGTGCTGAAGGCGAATCAATGGATATGACATGAAATATCTCAAATATAATCGGTATTCCATTTCGTGCGCTCCAAAAGAATGTTGAATCGATTTTATTTTAGTAGATATAGAGTGCATGTGATAGTGAATTAGCTCTAATAAATTCAAAACCGCGAGTAGTTTGCCATTTTGAAAGTCGATGGAACACGAGCTTCGAAAAATCGTAATTATACAATCTTCCCAAAAAATACCCGGACTAGCTAATGCATTCCCGGACTTCCCAAGGAATTCCTGAGTTTCCCAAAGATTACCCGGAGTTCCCCAGGAATTCCCTGTCTCGGGTACACTGGACTTCCCACGTGATTTACCCCTTGGTCTATAATCTATTATGTCAACCTCCAATCGTCATTTATGAGTATCGGACACCTATTTTGATGGAATCGATAGGTACTTCGATATTCAGCATGGTATTGATACTTTCCGGCCTCTACAACATTTTCATGGTTCGTGAACTGATGAACCAATTGTGTGAGGCTTCTGCCTTCTGTCCTATAATATGAACGTGACAATGACAATGAATGGATTTTCAGTTCAATCGATCCTGCTGCGGAAACAGGAAATGGAGATTATTTTCATCCACAAAATGGTTTCGTTCCCAAAAACTAAATATTTTTCAGGGCTCAAGCAAAATGATTGTAAAGTAAACGTTCATAATGTGTTACTTGAGCTAGAGCATCAAGAATATTTTTCTGGGGCATAAGCATAAATAATGAGATAACATCAGGGATGTTCATTACTTATATTGGATTCGATAAAAAGAATGAATAGATATGGCGTCCTGAAAATGATCAACCCGTACACACTGACTGCCAGCTGTTTGCTGTTGCACTGATAGTACATGTACCTAAAGGCAGCTTATATGTAGATAAGGACGAAAATAGGGATAACATCAACATCTACGAATATTCGACAAAAAAAAACTTGAAGAAATCATCATGGCCAAACTTTGAGTGATGAACAACGTGGTATTCATATCTAACAGTCCCAACAAAAAAAATGGCAAAAATGCAATCAAAACATATGAAAATCAAACATTCGTATATATAAAAATAAGAGGATGCCACATAGTATACTCAAAATAACTCATCACAGTTTTGAAATGGTCACTCCCACAGGGAGCTTAGGTAATTTAGTTTTTCCATATAATATCTATATTAACCAATTTTGAATGACATAGCCGTTGATAATATTATGTAACAAGTGTTATAAACGTCATTTTAGTAACGGGTAACGAGCGCAGCAAAGCGGAGCGTTTAATATATAAGTGTCTAAAAGAGTTTATAAACGCGTTACATACTTTACTTCTTCTACAAACTCTCTTCGAAAAGATCCCATAATTCTGAAAATTCTTAAAATGGGAATTGAGAACATAATACATAATACTATGCAGCTGCATGCAACCAACGATACACGTATGAGTCATATTGGTTGTAGATGTGGGACCAGTCCATAGGATAGATGAATTTTTATTGAAATGGCTTGTACCCTGAACTTTCTGAAATAAGATTTCATATGACGGAGTAGAAAAAAACTCTTCGATTCGCTGAGGTGTCAAAGTTTTCGATTTCTCAGGTTTGTATCCATACTCTGGTGGCATAATTTTGCTCACATTAATACTGTGCTTTGCGTTTATTGTCATGCTTAACGAAGAATGAATTGCTCACAAAGATGAGAGCTTCATTTTTACCCAGAGTTCTTGGAAATATGCAAGTATCTACCTAAAACATTTTTTCTACTCACATAACTAAATTGGCATTTAGCGTATGGATATATACGTACAACGCTAAATGATCAATTAATCACGGATTGTCGATCTGTGATTTATTAAAAATATTAAACACGTTACCATGGCAACACGATTTCTTCAACACATTACCATGGCAACGCAGTTCATTAAACACAGCTTCAGCTCTGCTCCGGTCGTGCTCAAACTACTCTTTACTAAAAGGACGTTTATAACACTTGTTACATAATATACTATTCTTTGATTTCACTTTCGTCTACATTTCGCATACATTTTTAATGAGGAATTCTGATATGAACACAAATAGCTCGAATGATTCTGATTGCAACAAAATTCGAAAATGACAGTTGACAGTCGGGACATGACTCGAACGACTGGTGTGTTTAAAAAACTCTGTTGCCATGCTATTGTGTTTAAGAAATTGTGTTGCCATGGTAATGTGTTGAGAAATTATGTTGCCATGGTAATGTGTTTAATATTTTGGATAAATAGATCGTCAATTCGTGATTAAAAAATCATTTCGTGTGGTACATATATCCGTACGCTGAATGCCATTTTAGTTATGTGAGTGGAAAAACACAAATCTTCAAGGTATGAACTCGAGTACGGACTTGAATGTTCCATTGGTACCTATTCATTGGTATTGAACATTTTTCAACGTGTAATCAATTTACCTATAAACTTTATCACTTCAATTCGACCTTCAGTTGTATTCCATTCCTAACATATCCCAAATTCTCACTAACTATTTACAACATAGGTACCTACTCATTCTTCAGCTTTGAAGTTCGTTTTTTTTTTCAAACTGTAAATATAGAAAATGAGACAAATAAAAAATTCCAATTAAACATCCTATATACATTGCAGAGAGTTCTACCCACGGTTCTGCTATTTCGAGATAATCTGAACGCGTATTTCCATTAAATTTCAAGAATAATGTAAGTGTAAATAATAGTGTACAGTGGCGTTCTCATCAATTGGCCCTGAAAAACAATGCACAGCAGGTGTATGTCTCGTCTAGCCCTTTAGGCACTCCTCTGAGTGTTAGAAATTTACTGAGTGACTGATGAGTTTTTCATTGGGACCTCATGAGCAGTGCATGAGAGATACAGGGTGACAAAGTTGCGCAATTTGTTACAAAACAAAATGCTTTTTCGGAATTTTGGGTAATCGCAATTACTGTCGGAGATATCCCGAAAACACCGGTAGTTTGTTATTTTTCGACGTCATAATCTTGAATAGCATATAGAAGAATGGCTATTATAAATCGATACTGAAGAATTTCAGGATTCAAAATTGGTTCCTTCTGATCTTAAATGTGCCATGGGAGTGACCAATTTCGAATTGGGATGAGGTTCATTTCGTTTATTCAGTTTTTCATGTGAAATAGAATCTGTAGACCAAAACGCAGTTCATCGAGAGCATTCCCAATAAAAAACAAAACAATAATAATAAGCTTATTATTCTTATTCTATTTATTCTACTATATTGTTTATAAGAATGAAAATCAAGTAAAAAATCGGGCAAAGGATTACATATTTTTTTTCCGATTTTTTCATCATCACCCTGTATGATTAGATTCATCAAATTTTGGTCTACAAAATCTTTCAATTCATTAGATTTCTCGCAGAACGCTTCTCTGCATTTAGCTTGACGAAGATGATTCACAGTACTTGAACTATACATGACAGAATAATAATAATAATAGTCATACTAATAATTACAATGGGAAGCATCAATATCAGTAAATACCAATACTATAGTTTATGGTGATCTTAATAAACAATTAATATTTACCAATTAACTTTTTAATAGATACCTATCCAGACGTTTCGCTCAATTACCGGTTTGAGATAGCAATTTCAATTTTTTGATGGAAAAATTCCATGAAAAGTTCAATTTCACTTTGCTTGTGGTAAAATCCCAAGAAAAACCTCCAGAAATTTCGATATACGCACCAGAAGATGATATATGCACAGGAGCAATACCACATAATACCCATGAACATTACCGAAGGGATATCACTTCAATGATATTAACAAGTCATGTTTATGTCCAGTACTGTGGATCTTCAAAGCGACAAAACCTCTATGAGCGTTATTTTTGGCAACAAAAAATATGTAAGATGTTGAAATTTGTTAAAAATTACCTGTAACTTTATCCCTGATCAGTTTACAACTTTCGACTTCACCAATGCTGGAGAACAGAGATCTGATTTCCTCTTGGGTCATGGTCTGTGGTAAGTAGTTGACAATGAGGTTAGTTTTCGATTCCTCCTGCCCACCACCGCCATTATTGCCACTACTGCCGTTTTGTTGTCCCACGACTCCTGAATCTAAACCATTGGACATCATGGTTGGATTTTTGTCACTCAAATTAAAAGTTGAAATGGTGATTTTTCCAAATAACTCTTCTATGTTGGAGAAATAACTTATGCTGTACACTTATGAATTATTTGGTGTTTCTTCTTTGTTTTGTAGATTGTTTTCTTTTTCTTGTATTCGAAGAATTGGTACCTAGTGTTTTTCGTTTTTGCAGGGCGAAATTTACCCCTATCTACAATCTGAAACAAAGAAATAAAGGTGTAGTCAAGTTTTAAATAAACCATGATATACTTATAAGAATTGAGACAGGAATTAAATCAATAATTCATGTGGAATGAAGTACTTTTTCATTCCTATTTAAAACCAACGACTGAAAATAAAAGCAATCATTACTCGAAATAAAAGCAAATTTCCACGAATTTGATCAATTTTATACCCACTCAGATTTATACTCTTCTTATGTAGGTAGGTATTCACGGAGGTATTATTATCATTGAGTCTACATTATGTACGTGGGATCATTGAAAGGCATTGATGTACATAATCATAATATGAGTTCAATTTTTACAAAATATTTTTGATTTCATGAATGATACCGTGTAATTTGAGAAAAAATCCTCAGTAATTTTCACCCCACAACAAAAATAAAACGATCCCTGGAATACCTACTGGAAAGGAAGCATGAGAAACTTAAGTCATACAATAATTTTCTCATTGCAAGGTATTTGCTTCCGAACATTCAATGATATATATAAGCGTGGGAAACATTCCAAATTGTTTAATTTTATTAACTGTTTGCGTAGTTTGGAACTTAGAGTCTAAAAAAACGCGAAAAACCCCATATATACAGTGTGTCTACCTCGACCAATTAACGGCCAGCGTCCTCGATTGAGGACGGTGTATTTAGCATTAGCGGAGATACAAAATGTATGTGTCGAAATTGTTTTCGAAACTGCAACAGATGGTGTCACTGTTTTCGCCGTGAAAATTTGGTTGTAGGTGAAATAAAAGTGCAAGTATGTTGTTTGGTATACTGGTTCTACATTTTCATGCAAAACTTACATTTATGCCACGTATTCTCATACAATAGGCGAGCTACGGATATCGCAAGAGATAAATATAGATTAGCTAAATCGAAGGTAAATGTTCTAAAAAAGCATCAAGACCTCGGAAATAAGCTACCATGTGTATCCTGCTGACATTTCGAAGACACCAATGAAATAATCCTTACTAGTAAATAATGGAATGACTGATGTAACCGATTCCCTTGCAACTTATCGGAATATCATTCTTTCAGCCAATCAAGTACAAATATGATTAAAAGATCCATCCATTCATTTATACTCATCTAACAAACCATTGATTTTCTTACTAAATTATTTGGAATCCTGCACGTTAATGGGTGGAAACTCCTGTGGATAGAACTTGGTTTCACATTAGCCCAATATTTGGATATAGAATATTGAATTACTAAATTGATCCAATATCAAACCAACTTTTCTTTTCGATATTCACTTATCAATCCAGTGCCATCAATGTTGTCATAACATTGAAATTTTATGACCAGCCGATATGTATTTGTCTCGGCCTATATCCATAGACACAATGCGGCATTGCGGGTGCTTCACTATCATTTTAGGTACTCGTACGGAATAAACGAGACCTATGCTCCGGGGGTATTGAGTCCGTTGTGGAGAATGAGAGGTGCCCAATCTATTGGAACTTCTCATTCCCCACTCTCAGGCAAATACAGGCTAACAAGCCTGATGTGGTCATCCTCGACAAACAAATCGAAGCGATATTCGCGATTGAGTTATCGGCGCCAGCCGAAAGGAAACATCTTTTCGAAGGAGGAGGAGGAACGGACTTCTTGTATTTCAATCTGCTGGCAACATGAATCCTGATATTTCATTACATGAATCTTGCTGCATCATTTGTTCAATCTTATAAGTACATCTGACGAATTAGCACATCTGGTAACTCAAATGGATTACTCATATCTCTCAGTATTCTGAGTTGCTGTCTAAATGTTGTTGTCTGAAATGTTGATGATATAACATGATATAACAATGTATTGTACCTCTGTCACTTTCTATATTATTTTTATGTCTCCTTCACGTGACAAAAAAATGCCTTCAAAGACACCTCAGCCGACGTCGTCTACAAACGAAGTTTAGTCGTACAGGTGCGATAATCGTTAAGCGTTACAGAATTGCCCCCTTAATATCGAGATCTTCTCTTCGAGCTCCGCAGGCTCTATCCAGGCCATTCTATGGAACTGGTCATCCTGATAATCGGCTCCCTAGGTGGCACACGACATACGCTGCTCTCGGAAATCCAGAAAATCCCAGCGTGCAGCGATAAGGCACACATCCTGGCTGGTGGAATGCAGAAGGCCGTCATACTTGTATCATTGCGTTTACTCAGGGCACAGTACCAGTGAATTTACCCACAGGCTGTGGGGAGTATAGTCACTGGATTTTGTCCAGCACGACTCTGCGTGGCGTCAGAGGGCGCAAAGTCGTGACTGGAATCAATATGGATGCAACTTCGTGAAACAATAATAATAATAACAACAAAAGTAATAATGATAAATGTTTTTGTTGTCGCATAAGAACAAAAGGCAGAGTTTAACTCGCCGATAATTCGATAGTTGCTCTTCCACTTAATCATTCATCATCCTGATAAACAGGGTTATGAATATATAACTTTTTTATTTCACCTCCTACAATGGAGTTCATTATATAAATATTGAATTAGAAATTTTGAATTTCCATCACATAACGGCATCAATGACATTTTTTTATAAACCAGAAAAATTTAGATAATGGCGCAATGAAAATAACAAATGCTGTTCTCTAAGTGAAAACGCCATGCATACGGCATTTATTGATTCCGTATAATGTTCCGTTACATCATAATGCAATATAAATATCATTTATACCCCAGTTGCTACTACCTATATAGACGTCAACAATAGTTATTTTCATTCATAAGACTGTTTATTCGAAAACAAGGTTATTTATACTGTTTCAGCAAAGTTATGATTGTTTGGGAATAATGTGGAAAATGACCCATAAACACAGTGACCTTGAATGTTCATCACTGCAATAATTACCTGTTGATTTGGGTACTATACATATACACATCTCAATTTTGGAATAAGCAAAACGAAAATTCACGTAATATCCGCCCGCAATATTGGCAATAATTAAATCATGAATGAATAATAATCACACTAATAATAATGCTCAGGGCACTAGAGTCATGGGCCCAGTGATCCAGGTATTGAGGAGTGGTCACTGGTTGCAACTCTGCGTGGTATCTGAGCCTGCATTGTTGTGACAGGACCGGATCTCAAATTGAAAATAATAATGACAATGACGTGGAGATACGTTGGTGTCTTCGAGGGTGTCTTGCTGAGAATGATCCCATAGACACAGTGATCTTCAATGCTCATCACTGCAATAACTCTCTGTTGATTTGGGTAATATACATATACACATCTCAATTGTGAAATTGGTAGCGAAACGAACTTCACGTTATCCGCACGCAATATTGGCAATAATTAAATCATGAATAATTAATCATTCGAATAATAATGCTCAGGGCACATGAGTCATGGATCCAGTGATCCAGGTATTGAGAAGTGGTCACTGGTTGCAACACGGCTCGACTCTGCGTGGTATCTGAGACTGCATAGTTGTGACACGACCGGATTTCAAAATTACAATGACGTAAAGAGACGTTGGTTTTGTGATAAATTACCCAAAAAGACAGTGACTTTTAAGGTTCATGAATGCAATGAATGTTCATCAGTGCACCTCTGCACCTATTGATTTAGTAAAAAAATGGTTCTAAGATTGTTCTTATCCGCCATTCGGTTGCCCCCTGACAAGCAACCCTCAAATGTCTTCAGGAGACTTCGAATAATAATGCCCAGGACACATGAGTCATGGTTCCAATGATCCAGGTATTGAGGAGTGGTCACTGGTTGCGACTCGGCTCGACTCTGCGTGGTATCTCAACCTGCATTTTTGTTTTATGTTCTTTTTCCCACGAAAAGGGATATCCTGTAATGTTCAGAGAACATCGTGAGAACCAAGGGAAATGAGATAGGAATTGGAGTTCTTCTTGAATTGCTGGAGGTTATATGCCTCGGGGAACACCTCCCGTGGCGATGTGTTCCAGAGCCTCGCTGTTCGTTGGATGAACGAGTCTTTGGAAAGAGATGTTCTGCAGGTCTCCAAAGTGACCACGAAGGGGTGCGAAGCCTCAACTCGACGGGTTAATCTCGCGGGGACTGCCAAGGGTGTTCCAGAGAAGTGAGTGACTTTGTGAGCGAGGCATCACCCACGAGACGAATTTCCCTTTATTGGACAGAATCCAATAGTTTCAGGGTATGTTTGGGTGCTGCACTCCAAATATGGAAACAGTATTCCAGGACAGGTCGGATCTGTGCCTTATAGATCATGAGCAGCTGACTGGAAGTGAAATAGCTCCTGGCCTGACACAGAAAACCAAGTTTTTGGGATGCATCACTTTTAGCAATTGATCTCACGTGATATTCCCAAGAAAGGTTATTGCTGATAGTAATACCAAGCATCGAAATGAATGTCTTCAAAGGTATGGTTACTCCTGACGAGCTTATGTTGGCCACAGTGAGATCGGCTTTTCTAGAGAAAAAGCATGCTTGTGTTTTGTTTGCATTGAAATCTACCAAGTTATTGGATCCCCATTCGAGAATTGTTGCCAAGTCCATATTTATGTTGTCAACTTTTCTTCCTCGTTCGTTTCTGATTTGTCTGGCTGGTATTGGAGCCCTGGAAGAGAAGGCGATATGGAGGGTACTATCATCCGCGAAGCTGTGTACTGGACATGAAGTTGCTTCCAACAAATCGTTGATATATGGAGTAGAAATAGTGTTGGTACTAGAATTGATCCTTGCGGAACACCAGCATTTATGATAAGAGAGTCAGATGAAACTCCGTCGACCACTACATGGAGAGACCTGTTTGAGAGAAAACTAG